TAAAGGCAAAAGCAGGCACCTTGCAAAACCTACTTTTCCAGGCTGATGCCTCTTTAAACAAGCAAATTTATGTCAAGCCTTCCCTTGCTGACAAATGTAGTGGGTGGTTCAAAGGATTTCAGGGCAGGGCACTGTCTCCTTGATGAGTCACCACTGCATGAGATGAAAAACCCAACACTTGCAGTGCATTCAGTACTTACTGACCACAGTAAATTGTACATACAGGCAGTCAAGAATCTAAAAGGTGGAATTCCCTCAAGAGGGAAGGCAGGACATATTTATTTTACCTGGCCTTCCTCCAGGAATTTTTACAACATTATATTTATCACATGTAACAAAGCTGGGAAAGTGCAGAGGTTATGCTAATGCAGAGCAGCTACAACATCCAGATAACCAATGTGTGCACTTGGAGGTGATATGGGGAAAGCGGCAACCAATTGTTGGTAGAGAAAACATCAACTTGTGGAATGCTTCATGTAGTATCCCTACAGGGACTGAGAGCGATAGTCACTGGGGTTGGTTAAAAAATAACTCCAGGTATGTCAAAAATTAACCCTTGCAGTGGGGCTACCCCGACACTGCTAGGGTTAATTTTTAACATGCCCAGAGTTGTTCTTCAAGCAATACATGTGATGCTCACTGTCCCTTCAGACAGAAATATAGCAGGTTTTACAATATGGTAGCACTTTTCACAAAGACAAAATTCCTGTTTAAAGCATAGAGATAAGCTTAACGATTTCAAAAGACAGTTTTAACGTGATATTAAAGCTTTAGTTTTTAGCAGTGGAAGGCCATCATTAATGCAGATTTTTTTTTTTTTTACATTTCTTAATTCTTCGGTTTTTAGTGGGTCTCCACATCCTCCCCCCTCCCCCGCACGGGTGCCTCAAGCAGCTAAATGGCTGCTGTGGAGGCACCCATGCGTGTGCGTTCCCTGGGGGATTCGGGTGATGAAGCTCTTTATTTTATTTCACCAGGCCCTCCCATAATGTCAGTTACCTTAATGCAGCCATATTTTTACTTTACCACATGCTATCATCTGATGAACCTTAGATTATTGTACGTTATGAAATTAGCTTTTTTTAATGCATACCAGATTTTACATACCTGTGGTGTATGGTGTCCTCCGAAGGGGTAATGTGCATCTTTGGCCCTCTGTACTGCCTAAGATAGGGGTGCGTGGCATGTATAAGGCCAGTGTTTCATAATACATCTACATAAATATTTCTTATTAATGTAGCGCCCCCAGGTCTGAAGTTATGAAATCTGGGTGAAGTTTGGAAACAAGTTTTAACAGGGTTATTTACAGGTTATCGGATTCCAGGCACCTACATGTAATCTACTTGGATCTATCAACTGATAACTAGTGTTCTGGATGCTCTGTGCTTTACGATTCCTCATTAAGAGGTTGGCCAAGAAACAGGCCTGGATCAACATCTCTGGTGCTTTGGCATTTATGGTGGAATTGAAGAACCTTGGAAGACTCTCAAAAACAAATATGTTTAATTGATAGTCTGGCTCGATAATCTCCAGAAATTGCAAATTTCAACAACCTGAGGGGATGACAGGGTTTCCTAAATAAGTTTGGGGGGCCCAGACCTCAGTGTCACAAAAAGGATCAAACATTTGCTTCCAGATGTAGTGGTGCTACAATTTTCACTGGTTGCCATCCTGTAGCATTGACCCAATAAGCTGGTGTTCCATATAGCCACACTGATGTGGACCCAGCTACACGACTAGTCCAAGGAGTCTAATACTTGGATAGAAATGTTTTGTACAGCATAGGAATGACCTTGGTAAAGAAAATGTTGTGGCTTAGAAATTGCCATCAGGGTACAGCCAACTCCATGATTTGGCAGAAGGAGCTACATTAAACCAACTTGCATGGTAGAGACTAGACCACCACCATCTTAGCCAAGTAAGCATTTAGTTTGATGACACGCAGGTGACTGTATACATTTCTGACTCCTTTTAGATCAGGGGTAGCCAAACTCCGGCTCTCCAGCTGTGGTGGAACTACAAATCTCATGAGGCATTGCAAGATTCTTACAGTCACAAACATGACTCCCGGAGAGAGATGCTTCATGGGATTTGTAGTTCCACTGTTTGGAAACAAGTTTTAACAGGGTTATTTACAGGTTATCGGATTCCAGGCACCTACATGTAATCTACTTGGATCTATCAACTGATAACTAGTGTTCTGGATGCTCTGTGCTTTACGATTCCTCATTAAGAGGTTGGCCAAGAAACAGGCCTGGATCAACATCTCTGGTGCTTTGGCATTTATGGTGGAATTGAAGAACCTTGGAAGACTCTCAAAAACAAATATGTTTAATTGATAGTCTGGCTCGATAATCTCCAGAAATTGCAAATTTCAACAACCTGAGGGGATGACAGGGTTTCCTAAATAAGTTTGGGGGGCCCAGACCTCAGTGTCACAAAAAGGATCAAACATTTGCTTCCAGATGTAGTGGTGCTACAATTTTCACTGGTTGCCATCCTGTAGCATTGACCCAATAAGCTGGTGTTCCATATAGCCACACTGATGTGGACCCAGCTACACGACTAGTCCAAGGAGTCTAATACTTGGATAGAAATGTTTTGTACAGCATAGGAATGACCTTGGTAAAGAAAATGTTGTGGCTTAGAAATTGCCATCAGGGTACAGCCAACTCCATGATTTGGCAGAAGGAGCTACATTAAACCAACTTGCATGGTAGAGACTAGACCACCACCATCTTAGCCAAGTAAGCATTTAGTTTGATGACACGCAGGTGACTGTATACATTTCTGACTCCTTTTAGATCAGGGGTAGCCAAACTCCGGCTCTCCAGCTGTGGTGGAACTACAAATCTCATGAGGCATTGCAAGATTCTTACAGTCACAAACATGACTCCCGGAGAGAGATGCTTCATGGGATTTGTAGTTCCACCACAGCTGGAGGGCCGGAGTTTGGCTACCCCTGTTTTAGATGATTTATGACTGGCAATAGTAGGCAGGAGAACTAGGTGAAGGCGAGACTGACTTTTGTGTAGCAATGGATCTAGTTCCTTCTTTACACCCATCTAGCACCAATCCCATCCCCTACATCAGGGGTCAGCAACCTTAAAACACTCAAAGAGCCATTTGGACCTGTTTCCCACAGAAAAGAAAACACCGGGAGCCACAAGACCCTTTCGACATCTATAATGAAGATAACACGTCATACAGTATATCATTTTTTACCTTTAAGCTATGTATAGAATTTAAATAGGTATATATGAGCATATTAACACACTGGATTCTGGGGCTTAGAAACGCACTGGACTCTGGACTTACCTGAGACCTCGCAGAGCCCACCTGAGAGTGACCCTGCAGAGCACACCATAGATCCTGCACAGCCCATCTGTGACTCTCTATGGTGGGCTCTACAAGGCCTCGGGTGGGCTGGTCGCCGGGGTGCCTCTCCCTGTACCTCCTCCCAACTCCTTTTACCTGCTGCTGCTGGGACCTGGCCTCCTCCACCCCCTTCCCTGTCACCTCCGCCATGCCGCCCCTGGTACAGCTGATACCCATGTAAGGGGCCCCGCAGGCTGCCCAGACCCCTCACATGGGTAACTAAGTTACAATGTGTGACCGGTGGCGTGGTCACACATTTCAATGTAATCCCGCCCAGTTTTTTGGCTCTCTCAGACTCTGTGAGTGCAATCTCACATTCCACCCCACTCACAATGTCGGATGGAAGTGACATTTCAGGACCGAACAGCTGTTCCAGGGCAGATCGGTTCTCCTGCACATAGGATTTGCGATGCCGATCTGCCCAGGAACAGCTGAGAAAGCGTTGGAATGCTTGACCTATTTCCCCCCCCTCATTCAGACTCACCTGCCGTGCCTCACAGCCAGCATCCCAGCCAGACGGTGTGCACTACAGGTGGAGGAGCATGCGACACACATTTCTTCTCTTCCGCCGCCTGTTACTAGGGACGCAGCCGGAAGAGAAGGTGAGTCACAGGACCTGCCCCCTTACTGAGAAGCCAGTCGCAGTGCGCGGCCCGGGACCCTGCACTGCAGCATATTCCACCAGGGGGGTGCCCAGGACTGGACCTCACTGGGCCCCCCACAGCCTCAGGCCCCGGCGGTAGTTCCGCCCCTGGACAGGGAGCCGCAGCAGAGGGATGAAAGAGCCACATGCGGCTCCGGAGCCGCAGGTTGCTGACCCGCCATACATCAATGCAAGGTGAAATGCTTGGTAATGCCTGATTAAGCACTGCAACAGAAGCAGACAGGGATGACAATTGCCTTTTTTGTATGAAAAACAGATTTCTATTGGTGACATTGAGGGCAAGGAAAATACACATATACCATGCAGTCTGTAGTGTTTGGACATGTTGGGTGTCCAGCCACTGCTTTGCTCAGGCTATATGCATGATGTCACCACTCGTTTGATAAGATAATATCCAAGTTCGCAGAGGCATTTGATGCACACAAAGTGTAGAAGCGTTAAACATGACATTGTTGTAATGTAACATCAATTTTTCATCTTAAAGGTTGATTTTTAGGTTGAACCCATATGATAGTAGATCACATTAACAGAAATCTCACAGAAGTGAAAGATTTTGCCAAACATGCATCTGCTGCCATGCATTCCACAGAGAGGTCAGGCTCTGCAAACTACACCTCCTACACAAAGGCCTGCAGAGAATGTCTGCCTCCAGTGTTAGGAATGTGCACACAATTTTACACTCATTTGCTGAAACCGCTATGCTTCCTGCACTGCCCTGCACAGCAGCCCTCTGTTAACAATTTAGTGGCTGACATTTGGTTACCTTTTTATAAAGGAAACCTGTACTGAGAGAAATATGAAGGCTGCCATGGCAGACTTTCACCTGAAAATGCTAGCTATCTGGCTGTCTCCAGTTCAATACCTTCTGAATGACTTACCCAAAACAGGTATGTAGGCAAATGAAGTCACAGAGATATCAACATTTCCAACATGCTTAGAAGGTATTAAAGCCAATGGATCAATGACAGTCTGTTCTTACTTTCAGGACAGATTTCCTGAATAACTGTATGCAAGTTTAAACAATTTAATTTAAGTTTAAACAAGTTTCAACAAAGTACAAAAAGAAAACAATCAAATTACCTTAGGAATCCCTGCTTTTGCTGCTGGAACAGGTGGGAAGGTGCAAGGTGGACGGCCATGATGGATGTGGTAGCTTAACAATAGGTTGGGATTCAGTGGCACCCAAGGAACAGAAAGGGAGGAAGGTGCCTTAGGAAGGTCACTATGGGCTTCAAGCAGGTTATATGTTCCCCGTGTTTTATCCGTGCCACTTTTATAGAGGCACACTGAGGAGTCCTTGGAAGCATGGCTCAGGAGGTAAGACCCATCCTGTAGACTGCATGAAAATGAAATACACATTAATAATAGAAATGTATAGTTCACTAATAGTATACATCTATACAAGAAGTCGCACAACATAAACATTTCATTCAACATTTTCAAAATAGCAAAATAACCCACATTTTGCACAAAGCCATTTTCACATGCACAAACCATATATTTTCTGAAAGTAGAAGATATACACAAAAAAACAAAACAATTCAAAGAATATGTTTAAATAATCTACAAAGTGCATACACACACAAAAACTTAAACTGAATCAATATTTGGTATTCATTCTTTGCCTTCGAAATAGCATCAATTCCCCCAGGTAAACCTGCACAGTTTGTCAAGAAACTCAGCAGGTAGTTTGTTCGAAACATCTAGGAGAATGAATCACAGTTCTGTGTATTTAGAGGGTTATTCACTAAGCTGCCTTTGGCAGCCGAGTGAATGACTGAGCCGAAGGGCAATCGGCTATTGACTTCAGCTTTGTACGGCTGATTTCAGCTGCATATCGGGTAAAATCAGCTGTACATGGGCTGGCTTTGGTCAGCTGAACATGCTCTGCATGTTTGGCTGAGCTGAAGTGCAGAAGGAGTTCGACTCAGCCAATCCAACATCTGAATAAGCTGAGCCAAAGCTCTGGCAGTGCACTCGCTGCCGTTCGTCCCTATTCTCATAGGGGCCGAACGGTAGTGAGTGAATAGCCGAACGGCATTTGGCTCGGCTATTCTGCTCGCTACCTCTGATTTCAGGACGTTTGTTCATTTTTCTAATTGTTGGTGGTTTCAAACCGACGATCGACTTCGATCACAGTGGCGAAAAAATTTGAAGGAGCATGTTGGAAAATTTTTCTTGATCAAATGAATTTCTAACAGTGTATGTGGTTTTTGTTCGGAAACTTCATTGCAAAATAGAATGTTAAATAGGGCTGCAACAACTAATCGACATAATCGATTATAATCGATTATTGAAAAAGTTGTCAACTTTTTCAATAATCGATTAATCGGCTTCCGATCAGTTGGCCCTGTTCACGGCTCCACACACGCTGCGCGCCGCACCTCTTCCCCACCTCACGCTCGCCGCTGCCAGACCCGCCCGCATCCACGCCG